TTAGACTAACCGAACCCCCGAACCCTAAACCCTAACCCAAAACGGTTAAACCCGAACCCCTGAAACCTTAACCCTAATCCCTATAGCTTAAGCTCTAAATCCTGAACTCAAACAGCCCTCGACCAGGGCTTTGGAATCTACGATTGGCTTTGCCGGGCACGCCAAGGTGCTGCTGGGGTTTAAGGGCTTATAGTATATCCATCGGATATGTTGCATTTAAGGGCTTCAGGGGTTTTTTGGGTGTTGTACGTTTGGAGTTCGGGGCACCCATCCTCACGAGTACTCCAGGTCTAGGCTTAATAGTGACTCGGCGGATGCTGCACCCCAGCCCAAGTCACAATCCAAGCTTTATCCAACAGTGTCCAGGGCTGTGGAAGCTGCGATTGGCAAGCCGAGGCGCCGCTGGGTTTTACGGCTATTAGATCCACAGGATGTTGCAATTTAGCTTCAGGGGTCTTTAGGATATCTATAGGGTGTTTTACATTTGGAGTTCGGGGCGACACCTCAGAAGTACCTATTAGATCTAGACGAAATTATGAGGTTACTGGTATCCGACTCTTCAAGGGGCCTGCTGTGCCATGTATATAACATGTATATGTGCATAGAGTATGAAGAGGCGCAGTAAATATGTGTATGTGTAAAGGCTGTACACTGTATGTATGTTACGTATGTGTGTGATTATGTAATATGCACCTGGTTTGCAAGTTAATATCTGTATGTCTCTTCATTATGTTTTCAGTATATATATATATATATAGTGAGCAAGTGAGTAAGTAAGTAACTAAGTAAGTAAGTAAGTAAGTAAGTAAGTAAGTAAGTATATGTGTGTGTATGTACAATTGTATGTATGTGTCTATATGTATGTACATATGCTTCTATGTATGTATGTATGTATGTATGTATGTATGTATGTACGTACATGCATATGTATAAGTATGTGTATAGGTACATGTGTATGTGTGTGTATACTGTGTATAGGCATACGTATATGCATATGTATACGTATATGTATATGTATGTACGTATGTATGTACGTATAATGTATGATAGCGTGCGTAGGTAGGCATATAATTCTTTGGCCGCTACATCGGTACTTTAGGGGGCCACGTATGTATGTATGTATGTATGTATGTATGTATGTATGTAAGTATGTATATATTTCAGAGGATATTCGATACTATGATATATATATATATATATACCATATATATACATGTTGGGCCTGTGTGCATGCATGAATGGATGGATCGAAGTATATAGGTACACTTCTCGATTTGTGCATGTCATCCTTGTGCAGGGGCCATGCTAATCTTATCGGAGGATTACCTTCGCTCGATTTGTGCGTGTCATCCTTGTGCAGGTGCCATGCTAATCTTATCGGAGGATTATTTTCGAGATATATTACATATAATAATATGTATATATATATGTACATGGACCTTATGCACGCAGGTTTTGCCTGTGTGTATGCATGAACGGATGGACACGTGGATGTATAGTACTCGTATCCATGCATTTGCGCCATATACACATATATACATATTGAATTTTAATGCGCAGTATCACACGTATAAGCGTTTCACACGCGCCAAGCCCCATTGCGCATTGCACCTGTCCCGCAACCCACGGATTCTTAGAAGCGCGTGCATTCAGGCCACAGGGGGGTCCGTGAAATAGGCCTTGGAACCGTGAAACAGACCCCTGGAACCGTGAAATAGAGGGCTGGAACCGTGAAACAGGGCTTGGAACCGTGAGGGCCGTATTCTGCGCTTTGGGGAGCTCCATCTAGATCCATAAGGCTGCCTTGAGTGCTACACAGGATGCCAACATCGACGACGAAGAGACCCCTACCGGCCAAATCGCCAAGCTACGTTGCTGCTGACCCAGCGAAAGCTGCTGCCACGCTTGCAGCGCTGAAGAAAGCTGGTGTTAAAATGCCAGCAACCCCCTCGAAAGTGTCAGGAACCGGATCATCTCCGGAGGAGCCTGCAACCCCTGGTGCCACCGGCCAGCCGCCTCCCACCCCTCTGACAGGAAAGTCTGCCAAGTCGTTTCTTGTCTATAGAGTTTATTATAATGTCTTTATATATATATATATGTATATATTGAATTGCGATTTTAGTATTTTATAAGATTGGATAACCATTCTAATTCTGTGCTCACAACACACTGGTATCAACAAGATGGTTTTGCCGACTAGGTATGTATATATATATATATATATATATGTGTGTATGTATATTTTCTGAGACCCACCCCTCCGGAAGTTTGTAGCTCTCATTGCGAATTCATATCGAGTGTCGAGAGACGCAGGCCGATCCCCAAACCTACCTAAACCCTAAACCCTAAACCCTAAACCCTAAACCCTAAATATCTAGGATTCTATAAAGCCAACCTATGCCAAGCCACCCACGGCACACAACCCAAACTCCAAACCATAGTGGCTAAGGACACCAATGAGGAGCCCGGACCACAAGCGGGCGAAGGCCAGCGCACCTGCACCACAGCCGGGTCGCCGACAGTCGACGAAGCAGCCTGTGCAGCAGACTGGTACTAGGAGCATTAAACCAGTACTTCTTGGAGAACACTTAAAGAAGCCTGAAGGCTTGAGGTTCAGTCTCCCACCCCAATGTTTTCCCCAACCTACTAACTAACTAACTACGTAATTGACTAACTAACTAACTAACTAACTAACTAACTAACTAACTAACTAACCAGCTAACTAACTAACACATTATATATATATATATAGATGTATATATAATGGAACCTGACCTACTAACCTACACGAGCTAGGCCTTAAGAACTAATGTATGGCTGGCCCAATACCCAACCCTTAAAGCTGGCTCTGCAACCATTCAACCTATGGGCCCGAATACCTATAGCTACTCAACCCTCCGAAACATGAACAGTTAATATGTCCCAGAATGGCTACTGTCGCTTGTGCTCCCAATCATGACAAGATATACTTCAGGATCTAGCTATTTGGAGAAAAAAAACAATTGGTTGTATTCCAGAGAGTGGCCAGTTGGATGATCATGATCCAAGGGGGCCACAAGCTTCGAAGCCTGCTGCTGCTAGTGCGGCAGTGGTGTCGCAGGGAGACGTAAAGGCTTCGAAGCCTGACGGTGCGGCAGTGCAGCCTCAAGGCCGGTGCGATGCGAAATATTGTTTTGGAAAAACCATATATATGATGTGCTCAGGTGCTGATCAGTTGACGGAAGAGGAGGAACAGGAGCTTGTCCGGGAACTTGAGACGCAGATGGAGCTGGGCAGCCCAAAGCCAACTCCGGACAAGAGTCGGCAGATCTGCGCAACACCGGGTCCGGTGAAGAGGTTTGAGAGCTTCGGGGCCACGCCAGCGAGGGATGTATCGATGACACCGGGGCCGACACCCGGGCCGACGCCGGTCAAGCTGCTCGAGTTCGATCAGCCTTCGGATGAATGGAGCAGCTGGTCCAGTTGGACCCAGGCCGACTCCCATTGGACCCAGCATGCCGACTCCACTTGGACCCAGGCCGAAGCCGATGATTCCCAGTGCTGGGGGAGCTCCACAGCGTGGGTTCCACGCACGTGGTCCACATGCAGCTGGGCAGAGGAGTGGGGCTATCAGAAGCCGTGGCTTGTGCATAATACAATTGGACTTGTCATTGCTTTTAGCATTTGGGGTCTAAGCACTTCTTCTTTTACCCATATCTAGAGGTGGTGGAAGCAGCGAGGGATGTCAAAGGACCTGGAGCCCTACGAGGGGGACTGGTCCTGGGGGCGTGGCGCGTCCCAGGTCTCCGAAGAGACGCAAGGGGACGTACAGGCCAGGAACGAGGAGGTCAAAGCGGTGCTGCAGCGAGGGCAAACTAGCGAGCTTGACCAGCAGCGGCCAACACGTGCGGGCGTTGAAGCTGAAGCTGCAGAGGTGTTTTGCATTAAATAATTTAGTAAATAAAACATGTGAATAGTATAGCCCCTGAAGCCCGAATCCATAAAGGAAAAGCAAAACCTTCTTTTGATTCAGGTGTCCACTCCACGACCTACCGTTCCAACCTTTACCGAGCGTCCCCACGTGAACTGCGTCGACGAGTACTTGGCCCAGGCCTAAATCCTAAACACTAAACCCTTACAACCCTAAACCCCGAGCCCTCTACCCTAAACACTGAACACCTACAACCCTAAACACCAAGCCCTCTGGACCAGGCCTAAACCCTAAAGACTAAACCCCTGCAACCCTAAACCCCAAGCCCCCAACCCTAAGCCAAACCTATAGGCCTATGGCCACAGCCATCGGGATAGCCCAGATCGCTGCCGGTTCTTTCAGAAGGAGGCTTCGGTCATTCTGTATATCTATAGGTTCACTCTATATATATGTGTGTTCTAGATCTGCCTGAAGGTTAGTAGAATAATCTATATGGTTTTGAGTTTTTAGTATGTATAAACACATATATATATAAGTTAAGATGCCTTATACAATAATACCACATGTATGTTACTTTCCCGTTGTACACTAAACCGCTATATAGCTTGATTTTGCTGATGATATATAAGTAAATACATATATATATATATATGCATTATATTATAATACTATATATATATATATATATATATGATTATGTTATAGATATTATATGTAGGAAAATATGCAAAACAATGAAATGTTAAGCCGCCTCAACCTGCAATAATACACTATTATCCCTGGGTATATATATATATATATGTTAGTGTTATATATATATATATAATATGTCTGTATTATGATTCAGGAGCCCACCCCGGAGAAGACTGGTGCCGGTGCCATTAAGCCGAAGACTGAGAAGCCCGACATCGACATGGACAAGCAGACTGGTGCCGACGCCGCCACCCAGCTGAATGACCAGAAGCCCGACATCGACGTGGACATGCAGACTGGTGCCACCCAGCCGAAGGACCAGAAGCCCGACATCAACGTGGACGTGCAGACCGATGCCACCCAGCCGAAGGACCAGAAGCCCGACATCAAGGTGGACATGCAGACTGATGCCACCCAGCCGAAGGACCAGAAGCCCGACATCGACGTGGACAAGAAGCAGACTGGTGCCACCCAGCCGAAGACTGACGAGCCCGACATCGACGTGGACAAGAAGCAGCTGCAGACTGGTGCCACCCAGCCGAATGACCAGAAGCCCGACAACGACGAAGCGTGGAGAAAGGACAAGCAGGGGCGCTGGCTCACGCCACATGCCTTGTACATGCGCTTCTACAGGTCTTGCAGAAGCCACCCAATAGCAATGGCATAGTTTTTTGTATGCTGAGCTTGAGTTATATATATATATATACATACATATCTTTCTATCTATCTATTTATCTATCTATCTATCTATCTATCTATGTATATATCTATATATCCCTAAACCTAAACCCTAAACCCTAAACCCTAAACCCTAAACCCTAAACCCTAAACCCTAAACAATAAATGTGTGAGCCCCTAAACACCCGGCCTTTAAAGGCAAAGACGTGGACCCGGACGTGGAGCGCAAGCGCCTCGAAGCGGAGGGAAGCTACTCGCTTGCACTAGGCTATACCCTATAACCCTAAACCATTGCAGCCCTAAAGCCTAAACCCTAAATATATACCATATTATGACCTCTGAGATCGGGAGAAAATGCACTCCTTGTATCTACACTTCCTGTCATGCCGTGGAGTGTGGGCCGAGTGCAAGATGATCATCCGGATGAAGCCACTTGGATTGCATTTTAAAATGGGTTTAGTGTTTCGGGTTTACAGGGTTTAGGATTTCCTTTATAACCTAGGGGTTGAGGCCTCAGAGGTTATAGAGTATAATATGATTTCTGATTTGAAAGCTGTATATATGTATATATACTAGGATTAGGATTAGGATTAATTCCGGGTGTTGGCCAGGTCTAGGTGTAGTGTTTTACGGGATTACGATATATATATATATATGAAATCTTTCTGTAGATATAAGATGAATATATATATATATATATTATCCAAAAATCATCAAACCTGCAACACCTTAGGGGCTGGCAGCAGGCTTGGAGTCCTGACTCAGTCATGGAGGTCTAGATCTACCTGATAAGAATATGACATTTTCAGACTAAAATATATAGATCTGCTGATCTAGATGTAATAGTAGAATAGTAGACCCCAGTGACCGAAAATCCCTCAACTCCGAAATCCCTCTACTCCGAAACCCTTAAATCTCATGACCACAACATCTTCTACTCCCTAAACCCGAAACCCGAGCCCCTACACACTGAACACACACACATACACATATATGGGTATGATGTATAGATATACAGACATGCACATTCACATAAATGTATCTCATTATACACATATATATATATATATGTGTGTGTGTGTATGTGTAGATACATACACATGGGTTCTATATCTATACATATATATATATGTATGTATGTGTAGGTGTTTGTCTATGTGTATGTGTTTGTGTGTCTGTGTGTTTGTTTGTCTGCCTGCTGTCTGTCTGTATGTGTGTAGGCATGTATGTAGTGTTTCTAATTTCCAGCCCGATTCGAGCTCCGAGGACGACGAACTCCTTGGAAACGGAGGAGTCCTACGAATGGTGGACGTACGGGACAATGGTGAAGCAGCTGGGACCCGATCTGGCAAGCGACTTAAAGCAGCGGCACGAAGCAGCAGATCCGCGAAGGACAGGGAGGTTCGTGAGAGAGTACCTTGGATGAATTATTCCAAAGTTATTAAACCCTAAACCCTAAACCCTATATACCTTGCATTGCGCGTCTCAGCATCGGTTCGTATGAGGCACCCTGACTTCCCCGGCATCGAGGAGCAGTACAGATACAAGAACTTTGCGAGCGGAAGAGAGACCAAGCGCCGCACCGAGCTGCATGAAGCCGAGATCTCGCAGACAGCCGACGTCCAGGAGGAGGACGCCTTCGAGGCAATGCAGCTCAGCTTATATATACTAGCACAACTTTCGAAATTTACATTCGAATTCAGGGTTTAGGGTTTAGGGTTTAGGGTTTAGGGTTTAGGGTTTAGGGTTTAGGGTTTAGGGTTTAGGGTTTAGGGTTTAGGGTTTAGGGTTTAGGGTTGCACAACTTTCGAAATTTACATTCGAATTCCGAGCGTGTGAGATCATGTGTGCACGGCCCCAAGGGAGAAGCTGCTGGCAGAGCAGGAGAGCGTGCACACCTTCAGCACCGGAGAGACCAAGCCGAAGCCGAAGAAGGATCAGAAGCCGAAGAAGGAAAAAACGTGGGCACAGCTTGCCAAGGAGGCCGTTGTACCGCATGCACATGTCCGATTTATCATCATGCGTTCGAACTATAATGTGTACCAGGTGTACATACATACATAGATACATACATACATACATACAGACACACACACACACTAGCCTCTAAACCCTAAACCCCTAAACTCTACCCTAAACTATACCACGTCTTCGCAGGCAGACACGAAAGCCAATGTGGAGCTCACCGAGTACGAAGGCTTCGAGAAGTCATTGCAAGACGCCGGAGTGTGCCCTGCTGTCTCACAGTACTAGCTATTGCATTCAATTAAGCCACAATGCATATACATAATAATGATAATAGACATATATATATATATATACATATGTACATATATACTATATAGATAATATGGAGAGAATTCGAGGGAGTCTACAACTTAATAAATGGGTTTAGGGGTTCTTGGGTTTATGCGTTCATGGCTTCAGATAATTTAGGGTTTTCGGGGTTTGGGTTCCATTGGAAGGGGTGGCCTTGCGGAGCTCTAGAGATCTGCTACTATGCATGTTCGACTTCATGTATGCGATACAGAAATAACTATAAGTGACTAGACCAACACTCGTTTTATCCCTAACCCCTAAACCCTAAACCCCTAAACCCCTGAACCCCTAAACCCCAAACCCCAAACCCCTAAACCCTAAACCCTAAACCCTAAACCCGAAACCCCTATATACAATATGCCCTAGACCCAGTCTATGTAGCCTCAATATAATCAGAAACACCACTGAACCCTCAGACAAAACATACCATGTCCTAGATTGTGACCCTGAAACACTAAGACGTGGCAGACCCTGTTCATCCCAGTCCTGTAAAGCTTTCTAAATTGTACCAGAGTGCTTATAGGGTCTAGGTAGCCTCGCATTATGATCCCCATGCCATGCAAATCCCGACTATTGTCCCAATAGATTGAATTCAATCGAACCCTGAACCCTAAACCCAAGCCTGCAAAAACCCTGAAAGCCCAGGTCTGAGAACTTCCGTGAGGCCCTCATGAAGGATGTTGAGCCGTGCCGCCATTGGTTGTCCGGGCTGAAGCATGACCTCGCGACGGCGGTGGGGAACAAGGTGACCGAGATCGAGATGAAAGCGAAGGTGGAGGCATGCGAGTGTTGTTTTATTCAACTATAAGGTGCAACATCTAGAGGATGTAGCTATGTAAACCCAACACCCCAAACCCTAAACCTTGAAGCCTGAAGCCTAAACCCTAAACCCCTAAAACCTAAAGCCACCCAGGAGACCCAGAGGGCCATCGTCGAGTTCAAAATGCGTGCCACCCCGATTCGTGATGCTATCAAAAAGGCGAATGCTACGGCTAAGCCCAAGGGGAAAGCCAAGGCGAAGGGAAAAGCTAGGAAGTAGCTGATCGCTACATGAACATGAGCTGCAAGGGTGCAGCTGTGAGCGATATCGTCGCTGTGATTTTGCAAAGGCAGAGACCTAGCTCTGGCAGCTATAGTAGTGCGATGCAACATGATATAGCTCTAAATATATGCTGTGGGTACCTGGCCTCATGCAACACATAGCTGAAGTGCATGGCTGTTGGATTGTCTCTGTCATGGGCGATGCAATCTGCTATATCGCCATTTTTTGAAATGGGAACCTGCTGAGATGTGACAGCAACCACGTTGCAACCCCCAAAAACTAAGGAGTGAAAAGGCCTGCTATATAGGCACCCGACAACCCAAACCTAAGCTTCTCCACCCGGGCCCGTGACCCCTAAATGAAGCCTGAAGCACCAAATAAGTCCCCATATCCCTAAAAGTTGAACATACCGTTCATGTGGTTTGCTGTGGAGTCTCATGCCAATACTAGTACTTGTGACGGGCTAACCTGCCACGAGAACATGAGGGCGCGCCTCAAAAAGGTCGTGTGCATCGATATTGGCTAAACCCCTAAACACCCTACACCCTGAACCCTAAATCCTAAACCCCTCAACCCTAAATCCTAAACCCTAACTTTAAACCCTGAACCCAAAACCCTACACCCTGAACCCCAAACCCCGAACCCTAAACCCTCGCGCGACCTTTGCAATCATTCCGTGTCCATATACTAGCCTAAAAGTCATAGCGACCATTATACAATTGCAAGCCCTCACCTCTACTCCTAGTCTGTATATACATATATAAAAATATATATATATATATATACATACATATCTTATATAATATTAATGCCTGTATATATATATATATATACACCCTACTCCCTAAACCTTGAAAGGCTTAATTCTTTACCCCCTCAATTCGATACTGAACCCCTAATACTTAGAAGCCTTATCCGTAATCCTCTGAAGACCTACGTATACACCCTTGACCCCCAATCTTAATTATATTACAATAAAGCATACTATACCCTTGAACCCTGAAGCTTTGAACCCTCAAAGACTCTCCATTCGAATTTCCCCGAGACATGTCTTAAAGCCTAACGGCAGGAACCGCCTGAAGCCTAAATCGCAGCAAATTTATACATATATAAAGCCCGGAAACTTATAAATCTAGGATCTGGCCCAACGCAGGAACAACACGATCGAGATCACGTTCTCGACATCGAGCTCGAGGCTCCTGCTTTATCATTGATATCTGGTGAGCAGTTTCAATCTGGAAGGGTTTCGTTCCTCGGTCATGTCTTGATGTTCGACCAAACACCTCTACAAGATCCAAACACTACTTTATAGCAAGAGGCTACATTATATACAACCCTAAACCCTCAGCCCTAACCCCCTAAGATTTATATAATGGTTAAAAACTAAATAATAATTCTATAATATATATATATATATATAATATGTATATATATATATATATGTGTATATATATATATATATGCATTACCTTTATATATATATATATATCCATATATATATATATATATATATTATAATCCTGCCTTGCAGGTAGTGGCACGACATCGTCTTCCAGAGCGGCCTATGGAACCGAAGCGGCTATATATATGTATATATTTTTATTTGTTATTTATATGTTCGGATATAATAATGCTATGCCTTAAACTAAAACGTATATATTGTCAGAACTTCAGGGCAGTATTTCGGGCATCAAGGGTACAGTCCTTTTGGTTGGGACTTTAGGGTTTAGGTTTTAGGTTAGGGTGTGGAGTTTACGGTTTGGGGCTTAGGGCTTAGGGCTTTCATGGGGTCCTGGTCCCCCCCACCCGCCTTTTTGCACTGCTCAGGAGAGAGAAAAGAACCGGCCTCACGATCGGGGCGAAATGATCGAGCAGGCCTCTACGGGCGGGTTGGGCTTTGGAATATTATGTCGGACACCGTGGAGCTCAGCCTGACCATGTTAGTATATAGATTGTAAAGCTTAAGCCTCAACACATGGAAGGTCCCTCCACAACGACAAGTTCAGGATCGAGACCACTTCCATCCACAACGACAAGTTCAGGATCGAGACCACTTCCATCCAGAGGCACCGTATAGCGTAATTAAGTTCTATGATGACATGGTGCAAGCTAGCATTTACAAGCTCAATCAATGCAACATGGATCCATGTCAATTGCAAACGAACAGAACATGCAGGTCTTCCCTCATCCCCGAGATCGGAAGCCCTTGATGAATCTGCAGGCCCGGTTTAGGGCTTTAGGGTTTAAGGTTTTTGTTGAGGGTTTAGGTTTCGGGTCTTAGGTTTCGATTTTTTGTTTAGAGGGCATAGGGGCCTTCGGGTCAGGGGTTTAAGGGTTTTAAGGGTAAGGGCTTTAGGGCTTTAGAATTAGGATTTTTAGGGATTCAGGGCCTAGTCTAGGGTCGGGGGGTTTAAATAAGGGGCTTGGAGCTTAGGGTTTTTGGGCTTGGCCTTGAGACCTTGGTGTGCAGTCTCATGTTATATATATATATGGCTTTAATGATTTCGGGCCTCGCGGTTCGGGGCTTATGTACGAGGCTTATCGTATCTTGTGGAATGATTCGAACACGTAGCTAGTGCAGAAGTCCACGCAATTGGGTTATATGCTAATCGGCATAATTATAACCCTCATATGATTATATACAAGTGTCCTATGTACACCTTCAAGCGATCCTATGGCACTGTCACCACAATTTGCAGGATATATATATATATATAAAGTATTAATATTCGTGTGAAATTATTAAACAACCTGAGGGTTGGCGCCTTGGCTTTCCGAAATCGACGCTGATCATGATGTCAATCTTCGAAGCTTCTACCTCCCGAACGGTTTAATGGTTTAGGGTTGACTGTTAGGGGATTTAGGGTTTATGTAAGGTTAATTCAAGGCTTATAGGGTCTAGGGTTAGGAAAGTTTAGGGTTTAGCGTTCGAGGTTCAAACTCGGGAGCTTAAGGTTGAGGGTTTAGGGATTTAGGGTTTGAGGCTTAGGGTTTAAAGAAAATGGGGTTTAGGATATTAAGGTTTGGGGTTCGAGGTTCGAACTCGGTTTACGGATTTAGGGTTTAAGGTTTAGGGTTATAGGGTCGGGTTTAGGATTAGGGTTGGGGGTTCGTGGTTCAACTCGAAGGCTTGCGGTTCTAGATCCTTATAGCCCCACAGCCGCGTAGATTAATGTTGAAAATTGGTTGAAGACTCTAGGGTTTTGGTCTTTCCGGTTTGAGGGGATCTATCCATTAATGAGCTGGATCCTTTGTAGTTGGGCCTCGAGCTCGGGATTTGGACACAAAGGAGAATAGGGTGATCCGGTGATCGATGCATATGTGTTCTTAGAATATGTTTGCTATTAAAGCACCCCAGGGCTTCATGAGTCCATGGGACTAGGGTACCCCGGTCGTTTACCCCGATCGTCCTGCTAATCATGTGATTCTTCCAGATCCAAACATATCCCTCGATCCCTAAACCCTATAAGCCCGAAATATGTGCCCACAGTGTCCTGCAGATAGCAGAATAACCCCCGCCATCTAGATCTTATCCCTAGGCCTATTCGACGAGTAATCCTAAACCCGTATGCAATAATTATTATATAATCGCCAGCAGCTCCGCAATCTCGTGGTCGGATGTCGAATCGATGCAATGCAGCCTCCGCTTCCTCTTCGGCCTGCAGTGTTTCCAGTAAGGCCCTGAAACTGCGTGTCATGTTCTGAGTCGTCCTCCGGGTCCTCGGCGTTTTTGTTCGGATCTTGCATTGTACTCTTCGGCTGAGGATCCGCTCGGCTTCCTCTCCGATCCGGAACCTGTCGATGGAGTAGCCGGTTGCCATGTCGCCGTTTTCCATGTCGGCTTTAAAGTGTCCAGTGCAAGTACAAGCATTCAATCGCAAAACCCTAAACCCTAAACCCTAAACCCTAAACCCTAAACCCTAAACCCCCAAAGCCTAATCACAAACCAGACCCAAAAACCCTAATCCAACCCCAAACCTATAACATCACTAATCCCTAAGCCTCAACCCCCAAAGCCGAAAGGCCTATTCCACCTCTAAACCCTAAGATCATTAATCCCTACCTGACCCCAACATT